GAGGCGCAAGAGTGAAGCTGAGCTGCTCCGGGAGAAAGTGAGCCGTTTGGAAGAGGAGACAGCCCGGCTACGTGACGCTCTGACCGGTCACAGCGGACCTGCTCTGCCTGGAAATGCAGCCATGAAGGGGCAATGCATGAGTCTGACGCTGCAACAGGGTAGAGCTGTGGCAGGAAGGGGAGGTCCCAGTCCCTCTGTGTACCGCAACGGAGAGGAGACTCATCTGGTCTGGGGTGGAGAGAGCGATGAAGCCAAGGCTCAGAGGCAAAATGCAGAAACAGTGTTGGGACTCAGGCAACAGGTATGTGTTTTTCGGTAACTTTTATGTGATGAAAGTGAATTGATGCATCTAGCAAGGTTTTGTGTCAGCTCAGTTTTGTGGCCTTTTGATAGGAATACTTTGCATTCTGTGCTGTCAGTTTTTTGCTTTAAATTTCTGTAAGAAAAGGAACTAAACATAATACACCAAAACAGGTTGATAGGCTGAAGGCTGAGCTCATGTATGAGAGGAGGACTGGTGAGGAGCAGCTGTCACGTTTCGACGAAGAGAGGCGGGTGTGGCAGGAGGAAAAGGAGAAGGTAAACATTTCGTGGCGACTGACTTTAAATCTTTTTCCTTCAGCGTGACACGTGTCAAACTAGATTTTAAAGCTTATGCTAATCCTCCATACCTATGTACTTAACTCAAATGCTGTTTTCCCATCAACTCAGGTAATCCACTACCAGAAACAGCTGCAGCAAAACTACATCCAGATGTACCGTCGCAACCGTGATCTGGAGAGAGTGATGAGGGAGCTGAGTCTGGAGCTGGAGAACAGGGACATGGAGGACTATGAAGTGCGCAGCGGCAGCAATGACATCCACTTTGAGGAAATCACTGCCACAGAGATATAAACACACACGCGCTGCGAGCAATATGTCCAAATAAAAACCATGGCAACACTCTGAAGGTGTAAACCAAACAATCAACTCTGGGCCAAATACTGCACTATCTTCAACGTGGCTTTGCCCGGATCATCGAGCAAGCACTCACCACCCGTCACTGTTAAAAGGGAGCTCTCCCAAAAGGTGCATTCTCACTTCCTGCTAACGCAAATGTACTCCCAGTAAATCCTTTTAAGGTGTCTCCCACTACGCTTTTAATGGGTTTTTATTCCACTACAAAGCCAGCACAAAGACCTGTTTTCATCTGTGGGAGCGAGAGGAGGGAAAGAAGTGTTTTATTTCTCAGACCACGTTCAAATCAGGGTATTGAAAATCGATGGGAACCTTAAAGCAAAAAAACATTACTACACACAGAGAAATCTGGTTACAACTTTGTTGGTAGCACACGACGTGAAACACCCAGACACCAGCGTGCACGTACTCATGCACCACGAGAGATGACCAATCAATCACCTGGTTATTAAAGCCGACGTCATCACCCGCCCGAACCGTGCTCATCGGCGACGCAAACCCCCGCTGCACCAGTCCTCCAATCCCAAATATTACTGTTAACTGCTGTTTGTATTTCATGGAGTTGATAGCATCAACAGTTCATTTTACCAAGTCTAAAAAAATACCAATATTTTGTTCTTTTGCTTGTGCGTATTTGATGAGGAATGTATTGTCACTTCTGAGAAATGCAGTAACGAGAGCATCTGAGAAGCACGCTGTTATTTTTGCACAACTTCCCTGCCCTCTTTTTGTTCACGACTCAACTGTTTTCAATTCAAACAAACCAATACTGACGTGCGCCTCCTTGCTTACATGTGAACATCCTATTCAGCCGTTTCCGAAAACCTACCGGGAACGCCAAACCAAACGCTCAAAGGAAATGCTTTATTTGAACTCTGCTCAAGTTTTCAAGACCACCAACTGTTGCACATGTGTCAATTCTTTAGACAATGCGCCGATCTCACATAAACGTTTTAGTATAAGTGACATTTCCAGGATGCTGCCGATTCCCCTCTTTCTCTGTCTTTTTCTTCTCTCTGTTTGCTTCTTACTCAGCTATTTTTATAACAGTGAAAGGCACCTCTGTGGTTGGTATCAGGAAACTAAAAATAGAGCATATTTACAGTATTACAGAGATTTAAGCCAGTGTTTGAACTGTTTGCATTCTTATTCAGAGTTTCCATTTATCTCCCTTCACTCCCATTAGTTCCCTTTATGTACCTCTTGGCAAAGCAAAGCCAAATAACTGTTATGAAGTCTTCCTACCCTTCCCGTTTTTCCTGCCCACTAGATTATACTCTTCACTGACTGATATACGGAAGTGAGACTGGCATGTCTGCATGTCTTTGTTGTATGAGATTTCAGAAGAAACTGGTTCACGCAGCAGTCAGGTGAGAGTTTGCAGATGCAGTAGCTCCAGCACTGAATGTCCTCAAGGCAGGTCAGTTTTTGATGGCCTAAATATAAACCGGCAAGGAGCATGTTACATATAAAAACTGTGGGTTGCGCTGCTGTTTTCTCACGGTATTATGCAGGGCTGTGCATAGGACTGAGCATGGCGGTAGTGGGCTGCTGAGAGCTTTTATTTTGCAAAGAGTCTATATCGAGGATTAATAGTTAAATGAAAATCTATATAATGGAGGAGATGTTGTATATTTTTTATATATATATAGCACCCGAAGATATTTTGTTGTAGTACTGGTATAAGTGTGTGGATTAATGTATATCTCATACCAATATTTCAAATGATGGATCAATTGCAAATGGAGGCGGCGACAAAGGAAGAGTGCACCTAATACTGTAATGCATGAAAATTTAATGTTTACATTATATAATCTGTGTGGAAAACCTTCTAATGACCAAACCTTGCAGGTGATAGAGCAGCGGGGATCTCTTATTTTAGGCTACTTTTTGGTCTGTTGTCTCTCCGTTTTGATTGATCTTTCACTTGACTGTCTGCATCATAATCTCATTCACGCTGTCGTCTTCAGGTTTTCCCACGTCATTCGTTTAGAACTGCACAAGTCGTTTTTGAGGGATTCGTTATTAAGTTATGGCCAGAGAGAATATAGCTCATGGCTATATTTGGCTATATTTTGCATGACATAACCACATAACTGTGGCTGAGGAGGTATTGTGGAGCATTAAAGGTCTGCGCATAAATTGTGATTGCGAAGTAAAGCCATTGAAAGTAACTTTGAACGGAACAAGCTTAGTTTATCCAACCACTTTCACGTTGTTAACCAAGCCTAGACTGTTATTACTCACCACAGGTTCATATTAACAGCAAGCACAGGTGTTCGAAAGCAGACTCCCTCACTCCAAAGCACTGTGTGCATATCGGATTCCCATTTCCTCCCCCTCATCGTTGCATGACCATTTTTCTGTGTAAATATGTAAAACACTAAATAGTATAACTGAGTGACATTGTCTTTTATTTAGACAAAATATCTATTTCAAATGTAGCCACTGTGACTAGACCAAAGCAACGTAACACACTTTTTTTTGTGGCGCTTTTTTCCCATCCTTTTATGTGCTTTTTTTTTTTTTTTTGAACATTTGCTTACTTTGTGTCTTCATTCATTCATAGAGTATGTAGTTGTCCATGTATATTTTTATGTGTACATTTCTTGTACAAATGACTGTTTTTAATTAAAGAACAAGTTGTCACATCTTGAAGTGATTGCAGATTTAATTGCTTCTGAAAATTTTTTTGCTTATTTTTAGGTTGAATGGCACTTCTCCTCTGACCTTTGACGTGAACAAGGCATTTTCAGAATTTCATCTCAGAAAACTGCAGATCACTGTATGTTTTCTCTTTGTCAGGCCCTAGAGATAGTTCTTCGAGAAAATTCCAATATATCAGCAGTTTCTGAAATACTCCACCAGGCATGTCGCACTTAGTTTGAACTTTAGCAGTTCGTCTTGACCAAGTTTATGTGCTTAAACACACGGATGCACCGGCATCTGATTGGATGATTAGATAGGTCCGTTAAAGAGCAGGTGAACAAGTGCATCTAACAAAGTAGCCAGTGACTAACTCAAAGGCACAGACATGCTCACTTTCATCTTAAGAATTTAATTCCATGCAGGCATATAAACAATTCAGCTTTTCTATCACTTATTAAAATCAAGCTTGAGTAACATTTTCTCAGCGTTTTTCCCGACTGCCCATCTATAGAATTAAGGCACTAAGCACACTGCTTTCTCCCATCCATATTTCTTTAACCCGACTTTTATTTGTGCCACTGGCCCTGCATTTCTCATTGACATGTTTTTCCAACTCTTCCACATGTCTCCATAAGCTCCATCCACAGCATGGTGTAATTAAGCCTCCAAAGTGGCGGATGGCTCCAGAATACAGGCACCTCTGCCAGAGAAATACAGCACAAAAAAAAATACTGAGCAGCAATTTGCAATAATCTCCCCAGACATCCTCTAAACCCAAACTATCAGTTTTGACATAATACAGGGATTTAATCTGAGTATAAATCTATAAATCTCATAATGCTGGCTGAGGTAATCTCCCTCTGGCATGCCTGCAGGGCTGCTGGGCTGAGATGCTTCAAGTAAAAAGTGCAGACCACTGGCTCCACTATCAGACAGTGCTCAGAGGTCACGGCAAAGTTGCCACGTGTTGAATAGTGGCACTATTCTAACCAAAGATCATGAATTACACGATCCTATCACAAAAGCATCTTTTAGAAAACGTGCAACATATGCATTTAGTAAAAGTTTTTCTAAAAACTAAGAATCATATAAAATTCATACAATTGCAACATTTGGTTTTCATCTCGCATTACATTATAGCAAAAGTGACCTTTATCTTGACAAATATGCAGCTGTATTAGTCTTCAAAACCAGCTGCAACCTTTATGCAAGACATACTTTATGGTGTATTTTGTCATAACTTTGCCTTTGATTGTCTCCGCTGTGACCGGAGCGCTACCTATCCCATATTTCTTCTTCTGGGGTGAATCCTGTATTTATTAAGTCCCAGAGGAGCTGCAGGTTTTGTTGTCCTTCATGCCCGAGCAGCAACCTGGCTGTGAGGCACACAGAGTTTAGTCAGCAAGTCTGTTGGGGCTGCTGGGGTCGGTAGAGACCTTAGGGACCTTGACCACAAAAACCATCGGCTCTTTGGCCTTGTTGCTGAATGCACGCCGAATTACATCCACGGCGTGCTGATGAGTCACTCCCTCCAGACTCTCTCCATCTACAGACAACAGCTCGTACCCTGCCTGCAGATTCAAACACATGCAAAAGGGTAAAAGAACATTGAAAAACCACAGAAAAAGATTGAGTATCCTTTGTAAGCATGTTTTCCTCCATTTGTGTATCTCTTTTTTGTGTCTATTTTTTTTTCAGAGCAACATTAAAGACAGTTTCCATAACACTGCAGAGATTGTGCCCCTCTGTGAAAAAAATGTAATTTATGCCAAAGAGAGTTGGAGCTCTCCCACTTCTTTAATGCATTCACACTGAGGGCTGTCACTAGTGCACGTATAAAGTTTCCCCTTCAGCACAAGGTCTTTGGAAAAAGAATATACACTGAGACAGCCGCACAGTTAGGACTATGCTTGCCGTTTCCTGCAGGATGCGAGCAGAGAGTGGCAAATCTTTGCAGCCTCGAGGAGAGGAACTTCCTCTGATGTCATCAGCGTTTGTCAAGGATGCACCTGCCTAATGTGCTCAATCTCAGCGAAGGTTAGAAACACAGAAACACACAAGGCCGACGGCCATTGTTGTACCTTCTTTTTTTTCCCTTTCCCTTTTCCTTTCGAGTCATTAGACACAAATAGATTATTTTCCCTTCATTCTCTACCACTCTGTTCCATCTGTTACAGCTCTAACCTATTTGGCCTGTATGGATGAGGTTAGATCCGGGCTGCTGATTTTCTTCTTTCTTTTTTTTTCCCCAGAGTCCGGTGTTCACCAACAACCCTATAGCCCTCCGTGCAAACAGTATCAAAAGATTTAGCTCCATTTAACCAAAGAGGAGATTAAAAAGTGCTTTTTCATTTTTGAAAAGTAATTTATCTGAATTAAATAGATCACAACCTAATCTGCCCCATCCTCTTTACAGCCATTTATACTGAGCATTTACGAGGTTCTCTATTTTCCAGCCAACAAATAACATGGCCTGTAATAATAACTACAGCTTGCATGGGAGGATCTGAGGCCAAATAGCTCATGTACTGGGCTGAGAGAAGTATAGCTCAGAGTGTTGGTTATCATAAATGTAACACCACTCATGCTCTAATTGTAGATCGGGACAGTGGTTCGTGGCTCCTCAAATTTTGAGATAACTTTCTCTAAAATACTAAAAAAAACATTTTCTTTTTGCCTTGTGTTTAGAGAATCACTGCATTAGGATTGCATGTAAACATGCCTGCTTCTGCTAAGCAGCACTAATCAGCAGGTCCAGCTGTTGGGAATGTCATTTTGCAGGTATTAACTCAGCTGTCACGCTGACGTGACTCACTTACGTCCACGTTCCTGCCGGTGAAGGCAGATGGCAGCGTCTAATGAACAGGACAGCACGTGTCTCATGACTAATACACACACAATGCAATATTCTCTGGTGTGATTATCATGTGGGTCTAAGGAAACAGGATGCGTGTTAACACTGAGCCCGCCTGATCTCACTTCCCTCTGCAGAATACAGGGAGATAACACTGAGCCGTGGAGCTGATATGAGCAAGCTGACATGCCTGGTTGTTAGGTGTGAGGAGGAGACCACAGATAGCACAGGAGTGCTAGTGAGTAGCCATATATCTGTGTCTAAGCCTCATAGCCAACAACCTGTCTGTTTTTAGTCATGCTGGTGAGATGGCTAAGAAAAGATCATAGTGTCATTAGGATGCAATGTTGCTTAAATCCCTTACTTTGAACCAGACTGAAACGTCGCTTTAAATATTTGATGAATTACATTTGGTATATTCTTTTGTTGAGTCCTAGAGCAAAAACCTTTAATGATTCCTTGTCTTTTTTTTCTATCAATGCTTGATTTTGAGTAAATTTTATGCGGAGCATTATGTTCCTCATTAGGATAACTGGTGATCCTCAAACATTTACCACCTCAGTCATCTGTAATGTGTCGAAAACCTTACTTGAGTACTAAAATCAAAACTATTATGTAACGTGTAACCCTGTGGCTAGATGCTATGTCCTGCTGGAAAAGGAAGTCTGCATAAAGTTTTTCAGCCAGTGGAACCGTGAAGAGCTCTAAAATGTTTTGGTAGATGGCAACGTTGAACTTGGACATAAAAAAAAACACAGGGGACCAACCACTGCCAACATCAGCAGATGACACCTGGTGGCACCTCAGATCATCACAACCTGCAGAAACTTTACACTGGACTTGGATTCTGTATCCCTCCACTCTTCCTCCAGACTTGAAAGAGGACTTTGGACCACTAAACAACAGTCCAGTTCTTTCCTACTTAGCTGAACTAAGGCACTTCTCTTGTCTGTGGTCCAGAAGTGGTTTGATATTAGGACTACTACAGCTCTAGCTCCTCTCCTGAAGAAAGATGTGAAAGATGGAAACAGCCTCAGTCAACGCCTTGTGAAGCTCTCCAAAGTTCTCGAAACAACTTTTCTTGACAATCCTCTCAAAGCTGCAGTCACCCCTGTCGCTTGTGCTCCTTTATCTACCAATCAAGTTTCCATCAATATGCTTTGATACAGCTGTCTGTGAACCACCAGCCTTTTCAGCAATGACCTGCGGCTTACCCTCTTTGTGGAGGCTGTCTATGAGTTTCATGTGGACTGTCAGGTCAGCAGACTCCCCATAATTGTGGTTGTATGTACTAAACTAGCCTGAGAGATACACAGTATTTATACTCTTTGAAATTCAAAAAATCAACATTTTATTATTTTGAGATATTTTTTCTATTATTTTTTTTTCTGTAAGCCATAACTGTCAAAAGTAAAACAGAGTTTAATTGCACAGTAAATCTAGGATATCCTAAATGTTCATTTTTATTAAACTGATAGAAAATGTTGAATTTTTTCCACAATATTCAAATGTTTTGAGATGCACCAACACAGATGTGGAGTTTGTATGAATGTGAATGTAGGTATCTGTACACAGAGGGCCAGGGAAAGTTAGTTAGATATGGGATTGCCCACATGTTTGACACTAATCAGGAATAACACTCAGATAGCAGTTGTCAACTGATAACTTGCAGCTAGGAAACATACGAATTTGTCTGCAAACACGAGTACATAATGTCAGCCTCCTACTGCTGGAATAAGTATGTTTCAACTTTGCACACAAACATTTCTTCCCAAGCATCTCTAATTCCACTGAGCTTTAAGAATAAGTCTGTGATTAACTTTAGTGAATGAGCGCATGTGTAGCATATGTGTTTCAGTGAACCAGGCCAAGAAGACTGTTAAGTTACTTTGCAGGCAATATATTACCAATACATTAGCAGACCAGCATCCATGTACCTCATCAATAATGAAAGTGATGGGCCACTTGAGATGGCTCTCATCTACTCTCCACTCCTCATTGCACACGTCTCTGTCATAGACACAATTACTTCATAGCAACAACTCATAACCTCAGGACTGAGGGCTGGCACATACCTCTCACAATCTGCTACAGACAAACACATTAGTTATAAAATCTGGTTGTTATGAAAGTTAATTCTGAATATTTAAGGTGGATTTAATTATTGTTATGTTATCTATCTATCTATCTATCTATCTATCTATCTATCTATCTATCTATCTATCTATAGATATATATTCATGCTAGACGCTGACCTTCAAAGCCTGATTTGTAGATGCAGCTCCACCTGGAAAGATTTTCTCAATCTTTATCATGGGCTGGATTCTAGACTCTACACCTCCAGAGATACTAATACCTGTAAACACACAGAAAAAGAACAATAATAAACTGAGGGCATGCTTGGCAGTACCACATGTTTTGTAACTAGTCTTGCACTGTATCGATTGGTCGTTTGGTCTTTTTTTGTGTGAACTCTTATAAATGCATTTTAGTTTAGCAGTTAGTGATGCCCTGACCTCTACTGGTCATGTAAGAGACAGCTTAGGATGAGTCACTAAGCAGTTTGTATTGTGCTTACAAGCGCATATACGGTCACAGATTAAAAACGATTTTAGAAGCTAGCATTAAAGCAAACCCTGAAATTTCAGTTTAAAGTTAAATGAAAGTCTCAACAAGTGCTGTTTTTTTATTTACCCAGTGAGTGCTTGGCCTTGGAAATGGTCAAAGTGGCGATTTCACACTCCTTGGGAGGTAGAGTTTGTCTTCCTTTCACTTTTTGACCATTTTGTGAGTGTCCATTCACTTGCTGAGTACTCCCGGCCTTGGACGGGCTCTTCTCCCTCTGGGGATCAAATACCTCAGCCAGAGCGGTTCTGCCTCTCTGCTGTGAGGGAACGTGTACGCTGACCTCCGTGTAGCCCTCTTGCCGGCTCTGTCTGCCATATATACTGTCAGGACTGCCCTCTCTCCTCACTCTCCCATGGCCATTCCTCACAGGTGACCGCCCTCGTTCATCGTCCCCTCGGTCAGACACGGACAACAAGGAGACCTCATCGTACCACGACGCCCCATTCTCTCTTCTGATTGGGGATCGATGGGGTTGGTGGCCACGTTTAGTGCTGTGTGGGGATTCTTTGAGGAGGAAGCTGTGAGTGGGCAAGGGGCTTGGGGAACGGGAGCGCACAGAGGATACATAGTTGTCCACAGGTACATCCAGCAGAGGGGTGAAGGCACGGGATGGCGAGAGATGGCCAGACCGTTGACCTGACACACGCAGTCTCTCCAACTCCTCGATCAACCGGCGCTCATGCAGTCTGTCGTGGACCGGCTGCAGACAAAATCCACCCTTGTAGTCTGTACAAACATATAAACAGTGAGTGACTGAGTCAGTGCATATTATAAAGCTTATGATGGAGCAGAATCAGTGCTGTGAGTTTCATCCGTGCTTTCTACTTCCATGTTAAAACTTGGCTATGCTGGCAGAAGACAGAACAACGACAGCTCAGAGACGTTTTGACAGATATCTGCTGTTTTCATAATACTGACCCTTTGACCCGGGCCTATGACCTCAGAGGCGGCTGCAATCAGTCTCAAGATGGGACTGATTGTGTCTCGCTTGCTTTTAAATGAAGTAAATGCTCAAAGCATCTTTGCATTGTTGAAGTGTCACACAGCACGTCTCTGTCTTTTCTGTATGCCACCGAGATGTAAAACGACCCTCTTCAGCACGAGCACGGGAAACCTGATCTGTTCGGTGTGTGTGTGTGTAGTTGTGTGTGTGTCCTCTTTATATGAGGGTGGGGAATGTGTGCCAGGGACAGGATATGGTCTGCGTGTGAAGGTGTTTGGCTTTGACCTATGAATATAAGATGAGGCAGGAATAAAGTGGCAGAAAACTAGAGACAGAAAGAGAGAGATTTGAGCCTCTGTATAAGTTATATTCCTACAGGAGCCATCAAGCAGATAGAGAGAAAGGTTGAAGAAAGGACCGAGGTCTAGATAAGGAGAGTGCGAGAGCAAGAGATACAGCCCATGTACCTGGGATTGGGGTGATGAGGTGACGACGAGGAGTTCCACTACGAGGAGAACGCAGAGCCGGGGAACGCGCTAAAAATAAAGATTTCAATTTTTTTAATCTCACTTGAAAAATTCTTTCCTGTTTTTTTATTCTGTCACAGCTTAGAATTTAATCTTGTAAAACTGGATAAATAAACAACAACAACAACAAAATATCAGGGCAGTGATGTCAGGTGCATCCTATGCTTACATGAGCGACTCTTGAGAATATCGTACGCTTCCAGCTCAAAAGGCATGACCATGCTGTCAAAGCGACCCAACTCAGTCGTTGGTATCAGCATTCTGCAGTGGATATAAAGCGGACATGTAGTTCATACAGCATGTAAACACATAAAGCAGTATTATGCCTTGTGTATCTCACCTTATTTCCCTGAGAAGCAGCAGTTTCTCTGGCCTGTCCAAGATTGCCAGAAGGGGACGCACCAAGTCCTCGATCACAGAGTCGGACAGAAACTGTAGGAAGGATTTGATTGGTGCACAAATTAAAGTAGGCAAACAAAAAGAACCAGCTGGACATGTACACTGAGGATCTGACTGAGCTCAAAAAATATTTATACCCAGAATACTGACTTTAAGTAAATTTGATTACATGTAAAACAAACTTGTAATTTTGTTACATACGTGCACTAAAAAACATTAATTTAATGGAAATTAAGGAACAGAAATGTACTTGATTAGTGTCCATTCAGTTTACATAAAGCATATTTTGCTTAATCGACAATTATTTGAATCAATAAACATTTGATTTTAAATATTTCAGTATGATTTTGCTCAAAATTATTGCTTCATCTTTATGAGAGCGAAGAATCATTTTTTGAGTGTGTGATTATAAAATTAGTTTTATAATGTCATCTCTGCGAGAAGTTTTTACACCTCTGGATACATCTCAGCTTGTCCAAGAAAAGTTTGCTTCACACACCGAGGCTCCAGTATCTCAAGATACACATTTACAGCACGAGACAAATTTGTGATAAAACATATTATAGATTAGAGATAATGGGAAGTATAGTTTTTAGAGCTCTGCACTTGCTGTGACTAAAAGCTCAGCGTGCAGAAGAACTTTACGTGATGAACTGAACACATGTTTATACCTCTGCAGCAAGTCCTAACTTTTTTGTCTTCGACCTCCCTTTTGTTTTGTCCCGTCTCTCTAAGCTCTCTTTTCAATACCCTCTGAGGTCAGACAACGGGCTAGCCAAGGAGCTGAATATTTTAGAATTAAGGTGGACAGAGAATGAATCAAATGACAGCTTATGTTCGATCCCGATCATAAAGACAGGCCAAATCCATCTTTTGTCACAGCTGTTACACGACACATCTGTGACTAAAGAACAGTCGATGACTCACTGCACTCTCACAGCAGCGTGCCTCTGAGGTGTGAGAGATGGTAATTTCAGTTTAGAAACTCACTCGCCGACAGTGTCTCATCACAGCGGCCACCTCATCCTGACTGAGCAGTTTCTTTGCCATGTCCTCCACGTGCTGCAGGACCTCGAGTCGGGGCAGTGGGCTGCCAGCTCGGGATTCCCTCGGGGAGGTCAAGAGGTGGAATGGGCGCCCCCGTTCCTTATCTAAAGAATTATGGAGTTAATGTTACACATGAATGTTACACTCTTACAGGACTTTACAACATTAGAGATGAATAAAACCCTAAACATAATGGAACACCTCTATAAATCAGGGAAAGCAATGCAAAAAGTTACAAAATCTTACTTATTACTGCAAACTTGTCATCTCACGAGGCTGTTTTAACATTTGAATTCTGTATTATAGCTCTGTCATGGTAGAGCACTGGCTTTTTGTCTTCAGGTCATTTTCTATCTCTCTCTTTGTTGTAGGATTGGTTGGGCAGGTCGGAGCGTGGGTTCCTGCTGTTCAGAAAACACACTTGTAGTTCACTAACCTTATCAGGAGCTGGTATTAAAAGGGAAGCTCCATACTGAGTCTCCATCACAGCACACCACACCACTGTGTGCCATCTCAGATTGGTAAACAGGCCTGATTCTTGGTTACTCCAGCTATTCTTGTTCTCTCCTCTGTCTTCATGATTTTGCTGCCCTGCTGAAGAAAAGACCCACCCGAGCTTTCTCACCTGCCACCTTCAAACCAGCACTACCCACAATGACTTATTTTAAAGAGGCTTTCCATCTCACCTCACTTGCATTCTCAACCTCCTTTGACCCTGAGAACAACCCAGTGCCCCTCTGTCCAAGCTCACTAGTCTTAGCTTCAAGTAAGAAACTCACACACTCCTAAAGACTTGATCTATAACTGGACTGTTGGGAAACCTCCCCTCACATTCTGCTGGATATAATGTCCTCACAGAGAACACTATTCCCTGATTATGATTAAAAGTGTGGCCTTAAAATGAACACTGTGTATTATAATTAGTCAATTTAACGACCTCTGAGTCATGTTCCACAATTTGTTCAAAACCTAAAGCAACATTTCACTTTGCAGGCTGCACTATGTGAAAGAAAACCCACACCCTGTGACCGCTCTCTCACCTTTGTTTGCACGGTGAGACGGCGACTTGGAGCGACTCCTCTCTTTTCGGTCTTTCTTAAATAAGAGGTTGACAAAGGTTTTGGAGCGTTTCAGACTAGTTTTACCCTCTTCTGAGCTTTTCTCCCTGTGTTGCCTTTTCTTCTTCTGTCTCTCCTCTAAAGGTGGGGGGAAAAAACAGACAAATATCTCTTTTTAAATTAACACACATACTGTACTTTGTGCACTAAACAAACTATAGACTACATGTCATCTTTTTTGCAGTTATGTCTTGTACACAGGAAAATTCACTGAGCCACAGCAGGAGTAGGACATTCTGCATATCTGTGTTGGGTGTTGAAAACATAATTCATTAGGCCTTGTTGTGCTCAATGCTTAACTGTAAGCTGGTAACAGTGGCTGACACGAACTCTCCTTTATAAGCACAGACTTTTCATTTATCTTCCAGTCAACTTCTCTTTTCACTGCAGTAAATCTGACACTGTGGGAAGCAACAGTGTATCACTGATGAATTGCAGCCTCACCAACCTGAACACACCCCCATCTATTAGAAGCACTACAGAGAAGTGCTCCCGCTTACAATAACAAATGTCCAATCAGACCTAAGCTTTGCCCGAGCCCCCGCCAGGTTCTGAAGCTACGAGTGAGCTGGAGAAATTGAAAAGGAAAGGCTAATAACTCAACAGCCCCACCAAGGCTTGGATAGATATTTCTCCATATGCTTGCTCTTATTCATTTCTCACAGAGGTACAACAAGTGAGAGTAAAGGGCAATGATTCATCATGAGTCTGTGGCAACCTTGTGCTCATAGACAAATTTTGTATGGAGCTTAAATCAGCCGTGGAGAGTCTGAATGTTCTTGTTTACTTTCTGGAGTGATGGAGGGTTAAGGCGTTGTTTAACTGATGCGTGTCCTATAGGAAGAGCCCAGAAGCAGTGAACTGTCACAAACATCAGCTCAATATCTGATAACAGTGCCGCAATTCTGGAAAGACTGATTTCTTAGTTGGGGTGGATAATATCAACACTGCAGAAGTGGCAATATTGATTGGTAAAACTTTCAAGACAAGAGTGTCTTTTAAATCATTAAGACTACACATCTTTTAATGTGATGAACCAGCCACAGTGCATGACATTATTAGTATTTGTTTTTTGACCAATAAGCATTCATTATAAATTATTGCATAATTACATGAGCACATGTGTTTTGTACCAATCCTGATCATCTGGCTCATTTTTTATGCTGCTGTACATTTTTGTAACTGCATTCTGCATGCTTTCATGGTGTCCTGCTGACAAAATATGTCCAGGGTTAGATGAAAAGAACTTAAACACTCACTTTATTAGGTACACCTGCTCAACAGCTCATTAACACAAATATCTATTTAGCCCATCACATGACAGAAACTGCATGCATGCATTTAAGCATGTAGACGTGGTCAGACAACCCACTGAAGTTCAAAGTGAGGTGTTTTTTAAAGCAGAAAGGTGATATAAGTGATAATTTTCACAACCATTTCTAGATTTTACAGAGAATGGTCCTAAAATGCCATGTTGATGACAGAGCTGATAGGAAGGCAACAGTAAAGCAAATAACCACCTGTTATAACCAAGGGATGCAGAAGAGCATCTCTAAATGCACTGTAAATCAAGCCTTGAAGCAAATGGGCTACAACAAAAGACCTCACCACTGCAGCCAGCTAAGAATAGGAACCTGAGGCTAGAATTTGTCCAGCCTCACCAAAATCAGACAATGGAGGATTGGAAAAACATTGTTGTGTGATGAGTTTTTAGCTTTTGCTGCGACCTTCAGATGGTAGGGTCAGAATCTGGCATAAACTGTCATGATCCTGGGTCATGTTGACCCAGCATTCTTAGTTTTCGTGTGTTTTGTATTTTGTTCTTTATTTATGCCATGGTTCCTAGGTTGTTCTGTTAAGATGTTGCTTATTTGATTTCCCATCGTGACTTTACCCCCTGTGTGCCCCCTCTGTGAATCTGTGAGCCCTCGTTTCCCCTCCTTGTGTTTTATTCCATGTTTTCTCCAGCCCGTTATGTCTGTGCTCTCCCTGTGCTCTCTCCTCCTGTCTGCACCTCTGTGTACTTCCTGTTTTACTTTGACAATCTCTCGTCAGTATACGTCATGTTGTGTTTGCTCCTGCCCTGTCTCGTTATGATTATCTGTGTCAGCTGTGTTCCCCGTGTGCACCCACTTCCCTCGTTAACCCTCTGTGTATTTATGTCCACGTCTCGCTCAGTTCAGTGTTGTGTTGTCAATGTCCCTTCCCTGAACCTGTGTGCCTTTCTCTGTGTTCCCTCGGTCCTCAGTTTAGTTCTGTTTCTTTGTGAAGCCTGCAATAAAGCAGAGGTTTTGAGTTCAGCTTTTGTCTCTGTGAGTTTTGCGTTTGGGTCCTCATCTGCCTTCACACAGCTAGTTCATGACATAAACAACATGAAAGCATGGGTCCCTCCTGGCTTGTATCAATGGTCAGGCTGGTGGAGCTGTAGTGTTATAAGTGAGATATTTTCTTGGCACTCTTTGCATGCCTTAGTATCGACTGGGCATGGTTTAAATGCCACAACTTACCCGAGTATTGTTACTGACATCTCCACTCCTCTATAACCACCGTGTACCCATCTTCTGATGGCTGGATAATCAACTACTGTATGTCAGAAACTTTTATTGATCTTTGAGTATATCTAGTATATATCTATGAATAATGTGTCCAGCACCTTGAAACTATGCCATGATGAATTAAAGCAGTTCTGAAGGCATCAAGAGGGCCCAACCCGATACTAGCAAGATGTACCTAATACAGTCCATAATTAAAACCAGTGATGTAAAACATCACTTGTCAGCTTAAATTTTAAAAATTTAAAATTTAAAAATCGTCACATGAATAAACTGTGCATGCTGTACGCTCACTACCAAAATACTGAAATACTGAGAGCTTTATTTTTTATGCCACCATCTTGGTTTAACCACTGCTGCTAAAGTTAATAAATTAAAAAGTATTGTGTTTGTTTTGTTTTCTCAGAAAGCACCGCCTTAATTGTAAACACCTAGACTGTGACTAAAATATGTCCTAAATAGGCTGGAAAAAACTTGTCAGCTATTAATAATGTACATAGAGAACTACCTTGCATCCACAGTTCCCCACATTTAACAACCCCAAAGAGCCTGCAGACCTCACCTGACTCTGTGATGTGACTCTGGGAACGACTGATTGGCTTCCTCGGTCTGCTGAGGGCCATCAGAGCTGCTGTCTTTGGTGAGTGTTTCTCAACTTCCTGCTTCCCTGATGACAGCGTTTTCACCCGTCCCTGTCCACCTTCTCCAGCTCCTCCCATCTCCCTTGGCCCTTCTCCTTTCCCACGTATGACCGTGTCCTTCAACACTAATGTGGCACCAACAGTCCGGCTTGTTTCTGTGGTGGACAGCCTTTCGGGGTGTGACCCGTTAGGCAACAGGTGGTCCTGGTAGTTTGGAGGTTGGGGTTCAGTCTGTATGGCAGAGTCAGCAGTTCGATCAGTACTGCTCGGACGTCGGGAGTGATCCTCAGTGCAGATGCCAATGTCTACCATCTCTGAGCCAAAGACAGGAGGGAAGAGGACCTGGGAGAGACCACTGAGGGAACTGAGAGGGGTGGTGGAGGACAATGACGAAGCAGAAGAGTTGGAGTCTGAACCCTGTGATGATGGTGGAGGGCCTCCATTGGCTACTATAGAACACAATCCAAAGAATATAAGGGATTAGTGTGTGTAACAGCTGCTATATGTTACAGCAACATAAATATACATGCTAGACTGTACTGTGGATAAAGTTTTCCCATAAAAGCTTAATTTGCTTCCTTCTTATTTCTGCTTTCTTTGAATGAAAACCTGTCTGTTCTCATATCCCCATAATCCTGTGAGCTTTTGATAGACAGAAAATAAAGCAGGGCTTCTTTTTTTTCTTTTTTCCTAATGAAACTCCAAAGTGACTCTGCATCTTGGCATCTCGACAGATGTCAAGTCATGCTCCATTCCAGATGACTGAGCTGCCTTTGAGTACACTGAATTAATCCCTAGCTGTGTTGAGATGGGCTCGTATCAAAGCAAAAAACAAGGACCTGGAGTCCTATTAAGAAACTGAATGACAGCTTTCTTGTTCAAGAAGGCTACACAAGGCCACTATCCCACTTATTTTCAAATGTTTCCAAGGAGACTCCACCATGTAGCTTAGATAAAATCTTCATTGATTTTGTTTAGTCAAGGCACGCCACCGTTCATTATCTCTTGTAAAACCTGTGTTAAACATTGTCCAGGGACTGTAAAAACAGTCAACATACACTTTTCCAGCCAGCCGTATTCTGCCACCATCTCCTTGTACGCGGGGTATCTGCCAGCTTCCTGTTGAAGATCAAAAAAACAAAATATTCATCGAGAACAGCAAACAGTCAGCATGATTACTATGAAGTAGACTCTCTAGACTTTATTGACTGTTAGTGAGGTTTTTCAACATTTAAAAATGAGCCAGCATTTGTTCATTTGGATTTTTTCCTGTAGTTTTTTGTTACTTGTGAGCCACATTCACAATCTGCAGCTGCTGAACTGTTTAAAAAGAGTTTACAATAACATGTTGATAATAGCAGTGTTTACATGAGGATCGTCAGCAAGTTCAGTTCCATTTAGTTTTATTTAGACAGCACCAAGTCATGACAACATTTTTTTTTACAAACATAATTTTATTTATTATGTTTGTATAGCTTGGTACATATTACACTGTATGTAGCTGGAGAGAAACAGCAATTTTTGTTGTTTTGTATGAAAATACACAAAGAACTGGCAATGGGGTGAATATGGATCTGAATCTGAATTTGATCTTAAAAGAAGGAATAGTGTCTTTTGAATCCAATTAAAGGACCTGAATCCTCCAAAAAATCTTCAGAGAGGAAAAACAGTCAGCACATGAATGTAAGGTGTACAGATGTGGAGACACGGCCTTTAAGGGAAGGACGGGGCTATCTACCGTATCCATACACTGAGGGTGAGATGGGAATTAGGAAAAGGGGGGAAGTAAAACATGGGTGAAAGTCATCAGAAAATCACAAAGAAAGGAGCAAAATTCAAAGCAAAACACAAGTGACAACAAAATGAGTAAAATTGGATTATTTTTTTAAACTAAACACAGAGATGCAAAAACTTGCACTAAAACATGATCTAAAGTTAGAATAAGAAACATGGGAAACAACTAAAACTCTTCACTAGAGGAGGAATAAAGTAAACACAGAACTCAGAGATTTATTAATATTATAAAGCATCAAACTCACTAGAGAGTAATGAGGAAATTAAAACAGGAGTGCAAAAATCAGCCTGCCAAATATAAGAACCAAAACTTCAAACTCAAGCAGATAACTAACAATTCAAAACTTGGAGGTAGAAAAAAACTCCTGGGACAACAAACACGTTTGCAGATTAATTTGACAAGATTACGACCACAGATATAAAACAATGGCTAACCAAAGTATTATCATTTGACATGAGTCCTGAATTCATTTTCAAGCTAGTCCATACACTAATCTTTAAGACATGACGCTCAAAACCAAAATGTGAACTTGTTGAAGAGGGCAAAAGGAAAGTCTTTATCCTTTGGGCACCACTTGCAATGACAATCCCTGGAATATTTGGACCAATCAATAAGCTGTCCACACATTAAAGCGAGCACTGGACTTACAGGTTGTTATGCATGCCAGCTTAATTTCCACCTTTTGACCTCTGTGCAGCATCTTATTGTACTTAATGTTAGTTTAGTTATGTTATGTTTGCTCTAATAATGGTTAGTAATTGCTTTAATATCCAGTTCAAATGAATCCTTACTTCAAATATAAAGTTGTAAGGATATTAAGGTGCTTGTATTTACTGTATAGGTTAGGGTAAATATTATGTGGCTCTCGTAAGCACATAATACTGTATAATGCCTTCTCAACTTTTTTTGGAACTGTCTCATCAGCACTCATTTTTTCCTTTAAAAGCACAGGTGTGAGGGTCTTAAATAACAAAACCGTGCTTAACTATGTGTGTGATCCATCCATACAGGACAGGAAGAAGGCATAAATTAAGGCTTTCGGTTGATTATAACTTGATCCTCGCCTGCCTTTGAATAATGAACGTCGTGCCTGGCTGTTTTTCACACGTGGAACCTGAGATCAGGGGGGTAAAATGAGCATGCAGCAATGCTAGCGAGCTGAGAGCACGCCGCACATTGCACATCACACATACACCGATTCATACGCACCTACACACGGTGCCTTTATCCAGAAATGACACAGGTTAAGTGCTGTGGCCTAGCACACATACTCAGGCACACATAAGAAATTTGAGGGCTGTAAGCCAACTGTCTGCTCAGCAGTGCAGGCTCATTGAGAAGAGCCGGTGTTGTTTACACGCTAGCATTTATTATTGTGTCAGCACTCAAAGCTCCAATCAGCTGTTAAGTTTTAAACTGAAGCAAATTATTAACACTCCATTGCAATTAGAGAACTTCCTGAAATCAAACTTCAGTCTCATTTCAGACAGCACTGAGTATGTTTTTAGTTTGGTGGTTTGACACAGTGTTGCTCATGTACATCTCAGCATTCAACTGGAGGTATGTTTATGTCCAAAAGAGGAAAAAAAGCCCAATATATACTCTCATGTTAGCTCTTTTTCTTGTGTTCCTCTCACTCCTTGGAATATATTTAGCTTTTTGGCTGTTAAATCCTCTACTCTCGTCACTTGCTCTGTGTGTGCTGTCTGAAACTGAGCCAAAACATTTAAGTCACAGGTTGTAAAAGGACAAAAAGAACAAAAATGTGTCCTCATGCTGTGACAGTCCTCTCATACTGTGTTAATTATAAAAATGTAAAAAAACAACAACAACAACAACCTAACAACCTGAAACTGATTAGCTCAACTTTAAACATATTTTTTCCTTTTTTTTTTTCTTTCGCTCACCCTGATGGTCAACATGACGTGGGTGTGGCTCTTCAGGACCTCCACCGCATTGCTGTGAGTGATGTCATCAAAGCTCACACCATTAGCTGCAAGGATCTGATCCCCCATTTTGATGCCATGCTGCTCTGCAAGTCCACCTGGGTCCAACCTGATGAGCAGTATGAAAAAATCCAGACGTGAAAAAAAGAAATGTAACTACTAATTGAATTTAAATGTGAGCTTCTTTGCTTTGATCTACCACAAAGATTCAATAAATTTTGCAAATGAGATTATGATATCATCTTTAATTATTGGGGTTAATATTATTATTTGCAGCCAGGTGGGGTAAACCTGGATTCCACCAAGTGCACCAATGTAACCATCCTGATGCCCAAATGATTTTACAACAAGTACTAATTAATTTTTTTATCTCATGCAAAAAAACTGTGTTTGTATTCATACTTAGACACATAAATCCCCAATCCAAACTCTCGTCCTCCTCTGATGTTGAAGCCCAAGCAATAATCATCTGACGTGGTGAAGAGATGTACGATCCTGCGAAGAGCGCTGTCCGAACTGGCCTCTGAAGGGGTACGACCGCTCTCCTCCACTACCATCCGCCGGTGAATCAGATCCACCCTGCACGCACACACATAAACACACACAAAAGGAGACATATTGTATATGCACACATGAAAACACTCATATAAACTGCTTTCTCTCTGTCCACTGAAGTCAAGTGTGTCAGTATCAGATAATCAAGTAGCCATAAAGGTCACAGCAGTAATCAATCCACTGATGCCACATGAAACCTAGATACTGTATATCCCAAAAGAAAGATAACCAGTGTGAGCTACAGTCAAGTGACAAGACTTCACAAAACAAGAGCCACACAAAGGTCAGTGATAGTAGTTCCAAAGCTGTAGTCTCTTACATATTCAGCAATAAGTATTTCATCATAAAATACAGTTATTAGAAGTCAATATTTTACAGTAAATGTTTGATATCTTGGTAGTTTCCAGCCCTGCTGAGTGGACTGGCCTCACCATGTGGTCTTCTCCTTAGAGTAGCGGATGCCGGGGATCTTGCCCACCCGTCTCACCACCATCCTCAGCCTGTTGTTTCCTGTCAGGACCTTCACAGCACTGCTCATGGTGATGCTCTCCAGGCTGACCCCGTTCACCTCCACCAGCTTGTCACCCACAGTCAGCCCAGCCTCCGCTGCAGACACAGGCAGAATTCAGCATGAAAAACCAGAAGACAACATTCCCACGTGTAAGCACACTGGAGGAAAAAAGCTTGTCGTGACCATTTACATAGACAGTCTGATGAACACACACACTTCTTCCTAACCTGCAGGGCTGTTGTCCTGCACCTTACTGACAAATATGCCGAGTCCATGTTCAGAGCCCCCGCGGACACTGAAACCCAGACGCCCATCTGGACTCTTATCTACTGTCACTGTGTGAATGTCTTCACTGTCATCCCCTCCTGCAAACACACAAAACACCGACATGAGTCCACCATAAATATGCACAGTGTGACCCACAAGTATTCCCAGGATTGGGACACTTGCAACAAAATATGATTTGAAAATTCAAAGCTGATGGGAAAACAACTCATTTACAAAGAACAGACAACAAATGACAAACAATAAACATTCTAACATTTAAAAGTTACTGATAACAAACCTATTGACTTTTAAACCTAAAACATATGTATCAACCTTAAATGAAAAACTTCATCCTTATGAACTTTTTCAGATCACAGGTCGACGGACTCTTATGAAGTTAACTGACAAATAAAATGCATTTATATAGGCTTATCTTTGAAAGCAACTTTATTTAACTGACATAATTTTTGCACAACTTGGGTGGTGCCTACTGTGAATACAACTAACCATTAATTAACATTTGTGTTGATCACTCTGTCTGATATTGTCTCAATTAAATATTGGCCGATCAGTCTTTCAAATGTCAGAAATATCCAAAGCCAAAATTCACATCTTCACACAACTTTTTTGTCTCATCTTAAATGAGCAAAGCCTACTGCGGACATTCAGTTTATGATCACTGAAAACGAAGAAGACTACCAAAATTTTACATTTTAGATACTTGAATTGTTTGTATTTCTGCTTAAAAAATAGAAAAGAGGTTGACTAAAAAAGTTTTTAGTAACTCAGTTCTCATTCCCTTTTAGCTTAGAAACACATAAGATTAACTCTGTCCACAGTATTTTACATATGTATATCAGCTTGCTCTGAATTAATTTTAGACAAATATCTGTGTCACTGATTGTCCTGAATACACCTTTGCAGCCAGTTGCTGTGTTGCCATGGTAGCAGAAGACTGTTACTGGGACCAGATCTCACCATCAACAGGTGCATTGATGAGGATGACCCTGCCCATGGGTGAGGAGGACCTGCGTCTGTGGCGCTGCTTCTTCACCATGTAGCGTGTGGTGCTGTGGGAACCCCCATTCGGACCTCCGTTTTTAAAGTGGGGGTGCCCCCCTCCATTTGTCATCTCCCTCCAGGCTGGAGTTTGAAAGGAGTCAGCCATGGTAAGTGTCCAAAAACTCTTCCCTCAGTCATCCAGGCGAGAGGATATGTGGAGTCCCAGGTCAGGATGGCAGAGATGGAGCCAAGTGTTTGGGGAAAGGCAGTGAGGGACAAATAACTTGTAAAATGGACACTTTAGCACCTACTTGTCCAAACTGATCCCCACTGGAGGAAGCAAGTAAAAAAGCTGCTGGTAACATCCCTAATCTCAAGTGACATCCGTTTCATTCAGTAGATAAAGCTTAAAAATAGAAACCAGGTTGAAAAAAACCTCTGACTTCAGCTGAAGCCACACAGCTAAGTCACAAAACACAAAAGTTGGCTAAAAGAAAAGCTCCATGACTGAAGAGAGGGATTTTCTCACACTCAGATATAATCCTGGTCTTATAAGTCAAAGATGTTGGCGTGATCCAACAGTGTCCTCTGTACCTTCCGAAACCACAGGGTACCCGGTGCCCGCTGTCTGCAGAGAAGTCAGCAGTGCAGGGTGATTCCCCTCTGGTCATGTTTAATTAAACGGCCTGTTGTGAAAAGAATATGTTGTGATGAGTAATGTGGCCTCAGAGCTGAAGAATAGACAATGAAATCCTTTAATTCTGACACAGTATTGACCTGTGAGGATAAGAAACACTCACTGAACTCCCGTGGCCGTCTATTAATCAGCACCATGGACAGCAACTCAGTGAGCACGCATATAACCAACAGGCCTAATTTGACAGTAAGTTATATGAGCGACAGTTTGCAGGGAGGCATAATTATAGGTGGACTTTAATTCTGTTCATAACTTCGACTTGCTGAGTCTAAAATAAAGTAAAAAAGAATTTTAGCATTACCTGCCGTGTCCATGTTGCGCTGGCTGCGCTTGCACTGAGCTGATCCGCCTCACTGACGCATTAAGGGACACCTCCGGAGCGTTAATGCCACCTCATTTGTTCTCCCGGTGACCATTATTGTCTTAAGAGGTGTAAGCCTTTTACATAAGCCCCCACCCGCAGCTGTGCAGCCATTAGCGCTGGGGCTGGAGATGAGTAAGTACACTGATTACTCAAACAGTAAAGTAACACTCACTCAAGACTGCTCCAGCGTGTCCTCGAGTAAACTTTCTTATTAATGCGCTACTGGACTTTGGTAGAGCTGGAGAGTGATGAAGGCGGGGGAAAACGGAGTAGCTGATCCTCCTGCCACGCCGTTAAGATGGGTAAACAACCCCACCTGGTGGCTAGTTTAGTCACATCCATGTGGGTCTCCAGCTCAATGCGCAGGAGCAGTGATCGTGAAAAGCAGTTTTGTAGGAGACTGCTGTAAGTGTGGTTAACATGGCTTTCAGAAAACAGAAGCTGTCATTTATCTTTTACATCATGCCATTTCTCAAGAATTTTCCACACTTTTAACAAAGTCGGTTTAAATATATTATAAATACAGTCAAACCAAACACAACAGGCTGTATATAAAAAAGAGACAAATGCTCTAAAATATAAATACATACAGCGAAATACTGAATAAAAAAGGCACACAAACTTCAGTTGAAGGCTTTGCAGTGATATTTTATTTCTGGTTTGTCATTATTAATCTGACATCATTACATCTACACAACACAGATAGTTGCTTTACAGACGTTAAGTACGACCTGGACACCGGGATAGATTTTGTCAACCAACTGCAAGGGCCCGGGAAGGATCACGGGTATCTGTTTCGTGGCTACAAATTAGCATTTCGTGCGCACGTTATACCCATTTCGTGGGCACGAAGTAGTATTTTGTGGCCACAATTTATTTATTTTTGGACCATGTCATCAGAGGGGCTCCGTACCCTTCTAACTTACACCCGCGACATAAACACTCGGTAAGAAGGATCCTAATAATGTTGAAGAATAAGAAATTAAAACTTTATTGAAAATGGCAAAATACACAAATTAATGAAAAAATGTTTTCTTTAAAATCCTATTTGATGTCACGTGATAGACATTAGCTGAACGCGATGTCTCAGCGTAATTTGCTTATAGAACGTGTTAATGGGCAGTACGGTCCCCCGGGTGAATGCAATGGTCTCAGAAAAGCTTTTGAGAACTGCAGGAGGGAAAACCTTCGTCTACGAGAGAGCGAGTACCAACTGCAAAGTCGCCTAAACGGTCTTCTGGTAGAGAGGAGGAATTTATGCCATAAGGATGGGCTTGTAGCTCTTAGAGAAGAAATGGAGTCCAAATACAAGCAACTGGAGAAAAGAAATGAAAAGCTAGAACAAGAAAACAAAATACTAGAAGGGAACCAGCTAGACTTGGATGACTTGAAGGAAAAGCTGTCAGACACGTACTCGAGAATTAAAGCAGAAAATGAGTACCAGCAATTTCTAAGGGTGAAACATTCAGAAGAAGTCCAAAATTTGAAGGAGAAATGTTAAGACCTGGAACAGAAGCAGGCACTCTTGGAGGACACAAATAAAGACATGGAGGAAGAGAAGACAAAACTAGAAGACAAAAATAAAGAATTGGAGGAAGAGAAGACAAAACTAGAGAACAAAAATAAAGAAATTGAGCAAGAGAAGAAAAAACTGGAGGACAGAAATAAAGAATTGGAGGAAGAGAAGGAAAAGGTAGAAGACAAATATACAGCGCTTGAGCAGAAGCATGAAGAAGTCCAGGACAGGAGCACAGAAATGCTTCAGGAGAAGATCCAACACCTGCAAAAAATATGAAGAACTTGAGAGGATTCACAAAGAACTGCAAAGCAGAAACAGTGAAATCCAGGAGGATCAGAAAAGGCAGAAACAAGAGGAGCTTGAACAAAAGGGCAAAGAAGCGGATGAAAAGTTTGACAAACTGCAGGAAGATTTTGAGAAGATTCAAGCAGACAATGAAAACCTCAAAGAAAATAACACACTGGAGATGAAAAACGATGAGTTGCAGGTGCAAGAAAAGCAAAAGAAAAAAGTATCCAGCTTTTTCAAGAGGAAGTCAAGCAAGAAAGAGGAAAAACCAAAACAAGACCAGGAAAGTGTAGAGAAAGAAGAAAAGGTAGAAAAGATATACGGCAAAGTAGAAGAAAAAGCGAAAGGAAAGAAGAAGACAGGCTGCTGGAGTTGGTTTTTCAGGAGTAAGAAACGTTCTGGTGAGATGAGTGGAAGAGGCCGCTGAGTCTGGACAAGTGTAGGAGGTTCTCCATTTCATTACTATTCACATCTCCACCCGGATCCTCCCTGCAACTCCCTCTACCCCCTTCTTCCCTCCTTCTCCCCCTTCACATCTCCACCCCACCCGTTTCCTGCACCTCCTTCTACCCTTCGTCTACCCCCTTCTTCCCTCCTTCTCCCCCTACCCCTGCAACCTCCATTTGCCATGTCCATCGACAGGTCTTTCTATGTGAAGATCTGTTTTCTCTGTATCATAATAAAAAAATAAAGTTGAACAAATCCAGAACTAAATAAGCATTTCATTTTATGAGAAAGCACAATTATACAACCTGTTTCCCTATAAACTAAAAACCAGTGGATAAACAGACTAATGAATAGGTAATAAAACTTGTTAATATGACTGACTGACTCCCCTTGAAACCTGTTAAAGAAACATAAGTATTTAGCTTTCAGGAGGTAGAAATGCTGCCACCTTTTGGGGAATTATAAGGATGGTGTACGTTGTAGACCCTTCAGCTGTGCATAAAATCACAGAAAAATATACTGTCACACCACACAAAAATGAGAGTCTGTCTTTAGCTGTGTACCAGGGAGCTGATACAGCTAGTGAAAACTTTGAGTATAATAAATTAAACTAGAAAGCGAAAATTTCAGAAGAAATTTCAAGTGTGCCTATGCTGCTGCCAATGAGTGTAGTTTGTGTTAGTAAAGAGCAACTTGTACTTCTGTCCCATTAAGCGATGGTTTAACAAATTTCACTGCACACTATAAAAGGAATCTGGATTTAAATATAACATAGTAGTGTTGGATTAAGTGTAGGAAACACTAGTATAAGGTGTCTATGGAACAAATCTCCTTCAACATTTATAATGACCAAAGTGAGGACTACAGACATTTCTCTCAGTCAGCTGATTGTGTTTAGGGTAAAAGCATCTATAGACACTGAGTAAAAGATTCAGACATTGAAAGTCTGGTTTATTTCATGAATACAATGAAACATTTTACAGTCCACAGAGCAAAGTAGCATACATGATAATGGATACTACAACATAACACGGACAGTGAGAAGCAAAACTCATCGTCTTACCAGCTGTTATATTCTTTAAACTTAAAATAAACCTTTGAAATTAGAGTTTAGTATTTTAAGTCATCTATTTAAAAAAAAAAAGAGTCAACACTTGTTTCTCTCAGCAGCATTACTGAAGAGACACTTTAACGATGCTTCATATCACAGTCTTTATGATGAAAAAACATGTTCTCTCATTAGCAGATGCAGCAGAATACATTTATTGCAGTGTATGAGCTACACTTCTTGTAAAAAAAAAAAAAAAAAGCTGATTGGAAATGCATTCCAAAAAAAGCTCCTGTCTTGACCTTCCTTCGACGAGCACGCACGCACGCACGCACGCACGCACGCACGCACACACACACACACACACACACGCACTCACATAGTAGCACACACACACACACAGAGAGAGAGAGAGACAGATCATTAATACAAAGGATTGCAGCAGCTCTTTGGATTTTCACTCTTTGATGAACTTAATATGAACAGCCACATAAATTCCATTCCAATTTTTTGCCTTTGCTTCAATTAAGATGCGTCTTTAAAGCTACGATACCTTTCTTGTTCAAAAAGTTTACTGACACAGTAAAGATGTAGCTAGGGAACTCAGTAAGTATGAGCAGCAATAGCTTAGGGACACTTTCTCAAATAAAGAGGACTTCATTATCTGCAGTTTGTGAAAAAAGTCCCACATTAAAAACAAATCTGCAGATCCGCAAATTATGGATACAGACTCTTTTCAGCTATTGAGGTCCCCAAACTACGGCCCGCCTTCACATTTGACCCAACCCCCTGAACAATATTAG